ACATTTCTCCAACCCCCCCCCCCCAAAAAAAAAAAAACAATAAAAAAACATATATATATATATATATAAAATATCACTTCCTCAACAGTCTCTACTGTGTGTGGGATTTGTTCACAATTTCTTTTCTTGACTTTACTCACTGAAAACACTTTTATGGAGGCACACGTGTGTGAGGTCAAGGCAACACAACACGACAGAACACTGCTTTCAATAGTGTCTACAACAGTGTACAACAACAGCTAAAATTTAATATGTAGATCTATCTATCTAGCTGTCCCTGTATGTTAAGCTAAATGATTTTACTCCCTTTGCCTTTCCCTGTCTGATGCTTGGGGATAAATAAAGTTTCTGTCACCTCCAGGTGTGGGTCCTTTGGGACGTCTTAGTCAAACTGCAACTTTAAAGTTTTAAAACTGGCAAAAAGAAAGAGAACTGGCTTTTCAAATTTGGTCTGTGTCACAGCCACACTGCAGACTTTTATTACAAAACTTCTCTCACAATCAAAACTCAGTGAGAAAATTTCCAAGTCTGTAGAATAAGACATGCAAAATAATAAGCTCACAGAACAGTTTGGAATGTAATCTGCTTTCCCCAAATCACAGATCACAGATATGTGATTGCACATATGCGATCGCACAATGGGGTGCTTATGTGTACATGTTGAATGAATGATGAATGACACCATATATGGTGTATTATTTATAGGGTATTTATTATTATTATTATTATTATTATTATTATTATTATAGTGTCGTTATCAGGATAATTTAACAAACTTTTGCAGTTATTGAACTTATGATGTTTCTTTAACAAATATAGATAGATAAATAGAATAGATCTCGCAAGTCAACATCCACAGCATGCATTTTTACAAAGACATTATAACATTAATGCCGACAGCGAGAGGTCACAACCTTGCAGGAGGACAAAGTATTCATTTTGTGTATCAACTTTTTATCAAGCTGATAAATACCTGACGGTTACAAATGGACCAAAAATTAGTTAACGTTCCAGGGAATCTGCTTCCTATAATTCAAGGATTTGGATCCAGCTAGCATCCAGGCCACATCGCTGTCTTCACCCACATTTCCTATTATAAAACTGACAGGAGGTAAATGTGGTCATAGAATGTCTTTTCCAAGCCACACATATGCATAGATTCAGATAAACATGCAGTACAATGGGGTGCTCGTGTGCATGACTCATGTAGCACCAAGAAACCGATTAGATGTAACAACAGGAGAATGTGCAGCACCCACTGTACAAAAGTGCACATATAGAGTGTCCTTTTAGAAAAGTACACATGACTTTTGAATGAATTTATGCTGACATACATGCCACAGTCTGACACAAAGAATATTAGCAACAATTTCCTTCTCTTCCTACAAAGTGTGCAGCATTAAAGTTCAAAATGAATAAATAAGTAAATTAATGAATAAAATATCCCAAAATAGTCCCGCAAACAGAAGTGAATAAAAATCTTTAAAAGCTAACAAACAACTCTAATAATTTTTGTTTTCACAGGCAGTGAAAGAATAAGAGAGAGAGAAGTGTCATGAGAAATAGACGGTTTGTTACCAGGTGTTCAACCTGTTCACTCCCTGTTCACTCCCTCATCACCTCGTTTTTGTCTCTCTGTCGTCGACTACTGTTTATGAACGTTATTACAATGAGGTAAATTTAATCAACTTTAGCGAGGAAGGTGACAAACTGTCTCTGCTTGCCTCTGTTTGATAAGCCAACAGCAGTAGAGGCTATTTTACTAATGAAATGCAGAAAGTTTTACAGTAAAGTAGCTCCTGCAAGTAAAAGACAGCAGAGCCAACAAGCACAATTTTCATCATAAAAATACACTTAACACCATCTTTCTGTTTATTGAAGGGGCACAGTATCCTTACATGTTATTTAGTGGTTCTAGTTACACTTGTAAAGAAACATTGTGCACAGACATACTTGCCTTTCTATCCTCAACATAACACACATCCTGTCCTGTAACCCTAACCCAAGGAACCCAAGTGGAAAGACAATATGTTAGTCTGATATGTTTATACTATAGGTAAAACTGCACTGATCTTAGGAACCTGTACTAGTTTCTAAGAGCATGTTAGCAATATAACACCATGTTAAAAAAATGATGAACAGTTGCATCATCCTTTGGCCTTTCAGCATCCCTTATGGAGTCCTAAAAGTGGTAGAGCAAGACAGAGAGCAATTAACAAGCTACGCAAGCTTTTTATGTGTTTTGCTCTTGACCAAACCAGATGGAGCGTGTGTTTATTTCTTGGAAACTATGGTGAGTTACTAAAATTGATAAGCTAGCAGGAAAACCTATGCTAACTTTACACGTGGTAACTACTGCAACAGTGTGAACCCTGTAATGTCTAAAAAAAAAAAAGCGAAAACCAGTTGGAGTACTTGACCTGTGTGTGAAATGGAGTGTTATGTTTTATTTTATTGTCTATTTGATTAAGCACCTTCACAAATGCACCAAAATAATGCAAGATGCACTTTTCTTTTAGTTGTTATTCAGTGCCTTTTCGGGACATTGTCATTTCAGTTATGGGTTAATTCATCTAAATAAGTTGTTTAAAACTAATTAAGTTACAAACATTTCATGATTTGATTACACGTGCCCTAAAAAGGGATGTATAAATATATTTGATTGTAATACTATAAAGCAATACATATTTAATTCATAGAAACTGAAACAATGTTAAAACAACAGTGTATTTGATTTTGAAAACTTAATGAGATCTTATTTTATTTAGAAACAACTGTAAGAACTATTTTGTTCATTGCTCTGTACTGTATGGGTAGACTGGATTTTTGTGATCCTGGATCTGATCTTATTTACATTGGTTTATCACACCATTGTAAAGTTGTAATAAACCTGTTCAGTTCTCTCAAATTTATTTTACTCCTATTGAATCTAGTCTCTCTATATATAGACTATAATAATATCATATCATATCATATCATATCATATCATATAATATAATATAATATAATATAATATAAATCTGACTGATGTCTGCACTCATGTCCATTTGAAATCTAGCTTGTAGAGCACGATTCATGGTTTAATGTTTGTAACATGTAAAAAAAATTCACAATTAAAATCTGAACATTTCTAATGTTTATAATATTTATGGGGAACAAATTTCACATGACATAACAAAACTCCAGTAAATTTTCAATGGATCTCTTCACTTTCTGTGGAGCCCAAACTGGTCATGCTGAACGATGTTAGAGGCAGCATATTCTCCAGACTCTTTCATGTCTGTCACATGTGCTCAGGATGAACCTGCTCTATCTGTGAAAAAGCAGAGGATGCCAGTACTGGACCTGTCAACTCTCCTATTCTATGACAAATGCTAATCAGGCTCCACGGTGGCAGACAGTGAGCACAGGGCACATCAGAAGACTGGGCCCTCAGGCCACCCTCATGAAGTCTGTTTCTGATTGTTTGGTCAGAGAACTTCACACCAGTGACCTGCTGGAGTTCATTTTGTAAGATTCTGTTGGGACTCCTGTTCTTCCTTGCACAAAGGAGGAGACTGTACTGGTCCTGATGGGTTAAGGACCTTTTATGACCCTGTCCATAGAAGGCATCAACACGTGTCTTCTGGCAGTGGCACGTGTTGATATTCCATCCTGGAGTAGTCCTACATGCTGTATATTTACATTACACAGTGTTCTTCAGGATCTGCAGCCCGGGAAAATACACTGAACTGTAACAGTGAAACTCTGCTGCTAGCATGACATGGGGCAGGATAGGCAATCAGATGTAAGTCTAGACACAGCAATGCTCAGTAGCTAGTGGATCTGAGAGCAGACCACAGCAACCTCCTTAAGCACGGTCCAATAACCATTACAGTGGCAAGAAAGGGTCTCCAGTATGAAGAGTTGGATAGCACCAGGCCCCGATATAGTTCATGCCTACTGGCTGAAGAAGCTGACTGCACTCCATGAGTGTCTGGCAGCACAAATGAACCAGCTGCTAGTCAATGAGAGACACCTGGAATGGCTAACTGAAGGCCGGACAGTCCTGATCCTCAAGGAACCCCAGAAGGGACCGGCCCCATTCAACTACCGACCAATAACCTGCCTCAGCACCACATTGAAGCTCCTGTTAGGAATCATAGCAGCTAAGATGAACAGGCACATGGGTCAATGCCTGAGTGGGGCACAGAAAGCGATTACTTTACTCCTAAATTTCCTAACAGTGATTCCACTGGTGCATCCAAGTTTAATGAGAATGTTTGTTTGGCAGCATGGTGGCACAGTGGTCAGCACCGTTGCCAGCAAGAAAGCCCTGAGTTTGAATCTGTGTGTGCATGCTCTCCCCGTGTTTGCGTGGGTTCTCTTCATGTACTCAGCATCTAAAGAATGTAGGCAGTGGGGTTAGCTTAATTGATGATTCTCACTTGCCCATACGTGTGAATGGTTGTTTCTTTGTGTTAGGCCTTTGATAGACTATCCATGGTCTAACCCGCCTCTCGCCCTATGATAGCTGGGATAGGCTCCAGACCCGCCCCCCTCAACTCTGATAAAGTGGAAGAGAATGGAAGCAATGCTCATTTATCTTTTGCTTTTTAAAAACTTTACCAGACATTTTGGCGTTCAACATTCATCATATTTATTTTAACAAAACAAAATTTTAATAATTCTTTTAGCGAAACTAACAAGTTGCACATTAAAGATGTATTCACATATTTGGATACATATGTTGAAAAAATATATATTAATATATATATATATATATTAAAAAAGAAACTTATCTTATTTATGTCTGGAGTGTTTGAGAGAAAAATACTAATTAATGACATGCAACACATAAAAAAAAGATAAAGTCATATTTAAAATTTGCATGAAGAATGTCCCAACCAATGGGGTTTTGTGATAAAATTATGCTCTGTGATTGGTGGCTCTATGGCCACCAGCACAGTGAGAACAGGCTTAAAAAGGTCCCAGCACAGCATTCACTGCAAGCTGAACAACAGCAATGGCTCATCTGAAGCTTCTTCTTCTTCTGTGTGTTGGTGAGTGAAATATTGCACTTATTTCTCAGGTTGTGACAAATTCTGTGTTACTAAAGGATTATTTAGGTTTTCACTAAACCACCAGATACTGTTTTTGTTCTTCTTTGTCTCTGCTTTGATATCAGTTATTATACATTTGTCAGAATGTTACAGTATCAGGAACACTGTCTCTACAGTATGATTGTACTTTTTCTTCTTTTCATCAATTTGCAGACACATTTCTGCAACTATATTAACTAGAAAGAATATGTTGTTCTTCAGATGGAAGAAACAACCAGTTGTGAGTAAATTATTTTCTTTTTCAGGCATCACAGTCAGCACAGGAGTAGATTTGCACAAAAGGATCTATGGAGGCCAAAAGTGTCCAGACACTGAGCGTCAGTATCACGTGAAACTAAAGGCAACCAGTGCAACACATGAAAGTCTCTGTGGTGGCTCACTGATCCATGAACGGTGGATTCTGACTGCAGCCCACTGCTGGAAAAATGAACCTGGATGGTGAGAAAACAACAGTTTGACTTAAAATTGTGTTTTATAAGAATTTAAAAATAAAGATAGCATTTCTTATGCTCATGTTCTGTAATTAGAGTCGCTTACACCCATTTCCCCTTGTGCAGGGATATGTATGCAACTTTAGGAGTTCATCCAAGTCCATGGTGGACAAAGTTATTACCATTTTTAAAAAAACAAAAAAAGGTGGAAATCACAGGTGGATCATTTTTTGTGGGCATAAATACAATTGATGACATCATGCTACTGGAAATTCCTTCACAACCAGGCAGGAAAACCGTTGCCTTACCGGACTGTGCAAATCCTCCCAATATGTAAGTTGTGCGCTTACCTAATAAGTCTGAATCCTTTCTGACTTTTCCACTTTTTTATTTTTATTTATTTGTATTATGATATTTATTTATTTACAATGTTGAATATAAATGAAACTTGTATGTTTTGGATACTTACTAAAACAATATATGAAAGTGGCCACTTTCATGAGTAAACCATATCAGCCTTATATGATTCACTATATGAAGTAGGCCAAATCTGCTAGTCTTTTATAAGTTTTCTCTATTGCTTTTCCATATGGGACAGCTCAATCAACACAATATCACAGTAAAAACTTACATTACACTAAAGAAGGAGTTTAAACATAAACAACAGCAATGACAAACTCCCTCAGCAAGCATAATGTTTTTGTGGGATTGCACCACTATTCAATAACAAGTACAATCCTTCCAACTTTTCTTTATGTCAGGGCTCTGTGGCAGGCCTGAGGTGCCTCAGGCAGGGATGAGGACCCAAAATACAGGACTCATAGAGAATGAACCGCAAACTCAAAGAACCTCAGCTTTATTGCTGGCATGAAACAAAACATAAACCAAACTGAGAATGGTATGACAAGAACACATAGGCAATTCTGAGGATACAACACAACAGCGAGCAAAGGAAAACACAGGGCTTATATACACAGAGGCGTAATCAGGGAATGGGAAACAGGAGGGAGACGCAGCTGGGAGAAATTAGGGGTAACGAGTAGGGATGGGTATTGATAAGATTTTCACGATTCTGATTCCATTTTTGATTCTGTTTAACGATTCGATTCTTTATCAATTCTTTTTAAAAAAGGAGAACACTAAAGTCGAATAGCTTAGAACTTTGTTTTATATCTTCTCTTTGAACAAGATAGAAATTTAGGAGTAACATGGCCTTACAAACCCAACAGTGAGATCTTAAGAGATCCACAGCCTACGGCTCTTCAATGGGGTGTCACAGGGTCCCCAGGAAAAAACATTGTAAATGTAAAATAATAAAATAAATATTCTTCTGTAGCAATAACAAAGTATAACATAAATTATTCAGTAGCAATTACACAAGAATATCCAGTAATGTCCCTGCCTACAATTAAACACATTCACTTACCGAAAATCGGGGGCATCTGCTGCAAATGGGTGCAAGCCTTTGACCACAAACTTAGTCACTGCTCGGTGACATTCGTCTATCCTGGCCTGAAAGGAGACGCTACCAGTAGACTGCAGCGAGAACTGCCAGCATCTGAGCCAGACTCTGTCTGTCTCTCTCATCATGGTCACCTAAATGCACAGTAATGGCAGGTTTTGTAATAAGGCAGATCGCGCTAACATAATATGCGCTGTTAGTTGATTATTTACCTGCCGCATTAACGGGAGAGGACGTGCAAACGTTACCGCTGCTGCTGGGCTGAGATTCACGAGTCTGGAGCGGAATTAAAGAAGCGACATTCATTTAAGGTTATCGTGTGTCTTGTGAGCAAATGCTTTTGCATATTCGTAGTGTTTCCTCCCTTAAATGAAATATCTACTTTGCAAGTTGCCCCGTTGTCATCCGTTCTCGTAAAGTATAACCAAACTTTTGAGCGTTTGAGCCGCCATGTTTCCTGCCAGGTAAATGATGCTCCGCAACGTGGTGATGTCATTCGGGGCGACTGGAATCGATAAGGGAATTGTTTGCAAAAATGGCAAACAAGTCCAAGGAATTGAAACAGTGGGAACCGGTTCTCAACAAGAACCAGTTTTCGATACCCATCCCTAGTAACAAGACAGGGGGAAGCAAAACTGAATACACTGACATAAGACATGGACCTCCAAAGTAAAACAGGTAACAATCCACAAAGGCGCAGATTTGACACTGAACTAAACCTACACAAAGTACGAGGGCACAAGACATAAAACCTAAGAACAAAACCCTAAACCAGAATAAACTGAAACATGGAATTAAAACAAGACAATCAGAAGACATAAAAACCATAATACATAAAAATATAACAAACTGCAAATGCTGGGTCAAAATGACCCAGAACCGTGACACGTTATACTGTACACATTAACATCATTAACAACATTAAAAAGAGTATTTCTGTGTCTTTTAGACAGTGAATTTCATTCAGCAAGTGGAATATGAAACATGAATGAATATAAAAGAGGACCATTTAAGAAAAATAATATAATATAGTAATAATAAACATACTAATACCAGTTTAAAATAAATGATTATCATTTTCATTCATTCCCTCTAAAGAATAACTTTGTACTGTGTAGTCTGTTTGTAACAGGCAGCAGGTTTTTGTCCTTCCCAGGTTTGTATGTCTGGAGTTTAACCTCTGGCTCTGTTTCCCTTCTTATTTTGGTAGTCTCAGTGTGTGTTGTGTTCAGTTTTGCTCCCCCTGTTGTTTGCCTGATTGAGTTCACCTGTGTTACCTCATGTGTCCCATCTGCCTGATTACTTTGTGTGCATTTAAGTTTGTTTTGTACTTTTGTTTGTCTGGATCTCTTTCTGGCTGTGTCCTGTTTGTCTGTTGCAATAGCCGAGCTAGTATCGCCGAGTACTCTATATTTAAAGCTGCTTTTGAGTTTAGTCCTGGATATTGGATCTGCCTGTCACACAGTGCATTATGAGAGTAACGGGTAAATAAGTCATTACTGAAAGAAATGTGATTCCTGTTAAGGCTGCTTGACTAAAGTGAAAATCATACAACATATTGAACTTCTAATCTGTCTTCATAGAGGTGTCCTTTAACAAATGTGAATTTAAAAAACAGTGAATAAGCTTTGAGATTGTATGTAAGATCATCTTGTAGGGAAGTCATGGAATCCATTACCCACAACTAATAAGCAGGGTAATAAGAAAATATAATTTGATATAATATTATAAATGAAACCATGAAAGCCACTTACAGTGTTTGTTGCTCTAACTGATAACACGAGGCTCAGTGAAACAAAAAATGTATCCAACCATGGAACGGTTTTCAGAACGGGACTTAGAAAGGTTCAAACAAGTTAATGCAGCAGGAGAAGATGGTTATCACGCAGGTCAGGGCAGTAGTCCATCAACAGGATGACATCATACTTGTGAAGTTTCAAACCCATGACTGACATTATACCTGCATCTCCACCTGACTGACATCAACGATAATATCACTGAGCCTGGATCAAGAGTTAAGATTCCTTGTTTTGATTTTAGGAGTTACATCCATGACACGCAGTGAATGACAATGAAACACGTGTGGCAAACAGTGATGTGTGATATCTGAACCCTCACAGTTACTCAGAGTTAGTAGCTGTAGCTGGACTGGAAATACCCAGCATGCAGTGTACATCATTATGATTTATTATTTTATTCTGTGTTCACAAGACACGTGTGGATGTGGAATTAATTTGTGACAATTTTTTCTGTTTCTAGAAATGACACCGTTCAGGTGGCAGGCTTTGGGAATTACCAGCTAGATAAGAACATGAATGAAAGTAAGAATAATTTTTCTTGATTAGTTCAGTTTATTTTAAAATCTCATTTTGGTTTCTGTGTTATTATAGTTATATTTAATTTGTATGAAAAAAAGTTGTTGTTTTTTTTGTTTTTTTTACAGTGTATATGTTTAAATGCCAGGTTCCCACCTTTTTAGATGCAGTTTTTTTAAGAAAACATTTTGCTTGAAAAATATTTGAATTGTTTGTAGAAATAAAGGAAACGATCATTTTCCTCAAGATTTTAGTTTTTGAAAGGTTATGAATGACTTTTGTTCTTTTCTCCAGTCCCTGGCCAACCACCTCATCTAAAGTGTGCAAACATGCATGTTGTTGACTGTGAGCCTACCAGAAACTCTCAGTGTACTGCATATGTGCCGTATGACAACAGGCTGTGTCTGGAAGAACCTGACATATATGTACTTAGTGTGAGTTGGCATGAACGCTAACATTACTGAATATCATCTGAGTATCTCTCAGATATTTTCAAACAACCTTATAGTAAATTATCTTTTTCTCTTTCAGGGTGATTCTGGTGGCGGAGTGATATACAAAGACAGGATTTATGGTGTAATCAGTAGCAGTAAGGACCCTTGTTTTGGTAGACTAGCTATTACTGTGAATGTCTGTCCTTACATGGACTGGATAAACCAGAAAATTGCTCAAAGTAATGGAAAATAACCGAATTAAATTTACATTCAGAATAAACAATCGTATCTACATGAAAGTTGTGTGCTGTGTGTTGTTTCTACTCTAGAATATCTACAAAATATGGAAGCTGTTGGGTCATTTGTTAGATAATCACTGGGGACATTTACTGTAATATGGTATTAAGTGCAAATATGAGAAATTTATACTTGTTTAATTTCATGATTTTTTTTCTGCTTCTAAGAGGGAAATGCTGCATATACATTTATCTGACCGCTTTATCAGATACTTTACAAATTGAGCTCTATATCCCCTCACTATATAGTTAAAATTGTTAAATGGAGTGATTCTTATATAGTGCTTGTTGAAATCTCCCAATTCTTTTAATCTTTGGGCTGAAGGAAGGACAATACTCGGTGTATATATGCTCAATCAACAATCATTTATTTCCATACAATTCAACACAAAGAGCATTAAAACGTCCGGACGGGAGAGGTGCTTGCAGAGGGTTGCCGCATTTCTCAAAATGGTGGAGGGTTACTCAAGCTCTTATAGCCTCTAGTGGCCCCCACCTAGTCGTAAAAGCCTAAACATTCACATTCTTTCTCTGTTACGGCGCCTAAGTTATGACCTCGGCTCCCTGTCTTTCTGCTCTCTGTAAAGGTGGGGGTATGGAATGTGGTCTGTCTCTTCTATTATCGGCACAAGGTCCTCTGCACACAACATTCTCTTCATGATTCAGCAGTATGAAATGTCAAGAAACAGTGTAACACATTCAACAGTGTCAAATAATACAGGTCAATCCAATAGATCTAATGATTTTCACACTCTTTTAAGTCAGAACATAATTCAACTACTTTAACTACAGATATAAGAGAACATATGATAACAGAATAATCTCACAATTCCCCCTTTGATCTCTTACAAAAGAGATCACTTTCAACATACACTCCAGCGTTGCAAGGTCCGGTTCTCCTGGTCCTGAGGCCCTCCGTCCCCCTTTAACGGGTGGACCATATGTGGGATGACCTCTGTGTTTGTGCAGTTCAGATTCAAGAAAAACTATGATTACAACAACAAAGTACAGATGACACTTCCATCACTCCCCAGTTCTCCCAAAACTTTATTTTCGCATTAGACTTTCCCACCCCCATTTCAGTAATACCTAATTGCTTCTAGACTAGAGCTTCTGTCTAAGGCACTTTTTAATTTTATTATTACTACGGCTATCAATATCTTCCAGTCGGGTGATTCTCTGCTCTTCTTTCTTCGACCGCAGGGATTAGACTACCCTTTAGCCGGTGCACAGATCAGGGGATTATTCTGCCCCTATTTCAAACAACGATCTGTGTATTTGGGATCACCGCCGTGTCCCCCTTTTTACCAAGAGCCTCTCGAACCTCGTTGGTCTGGTGTTCCTGGTTTTCGCCAACCCCTTCATGGTTATTGCTGTGTTTATGGGATCCATCTTCTCGAGGAGCCCAAACGCCATGACACTTGACCTCAGTTGCTGTCTCGGCAGTCCCTACGTCTGTCTCTGCTGTGAAGGATCCGCATATCTCCGTGACCTCGTCTGGTGTCTGTTCCTTTCTCTGCAAAGCAGAAAACCAAAACACCTATCTCCCTAGCCTTGATAATCTAATGTTGTTATCCATTGTTCCTCTAGTGATTCAAAGTTGGTTTAGAATCTCATGTTCAGGACTCTCTGACCCAGGGACTTATTCTAATCATAATCTATGTGTGTGTAAGCGTGTTTGCATTTACCCAATGAGTCCAATGAACCATTTCTAAGTCTAACACATTATATGCTTAAGTTTTACCATAGCTAAATTATTAAACACACAAATAAAGTCATAAGATGTTCATAAAACCATTGTTTGATGTTCAGACTCAACTTCCCCCTTTTTGACACACTCCCATGTGTCAATTCGTTGGAGCTAGAAAATTAAAAGAGAAGGTTAGTGACATCATATCTCAGAAAGTATCAGAAATTCTTCTCTCGAGTACAGTTGCTCCAGCCTTGTCATCCTGTGTTAGAGAATAAAATCAATTTAATTATCATGTTAGATCTGTTAAACTCCTGGCTCCGCCCAGAGCCTGTATCCACAGAACTACCTAAAAACAAAACCTGTGTGTTAATATGAACTACACATTTGTCACTCCCTTTTTACCCACTGTTTTTCCCTCATTGTCGAATTCATCATCCTAATTCATCACTGAGCCCAACCATCACTCGCATCTGATAGTGTGGCACTGCCTATTCTTCTCTTAGTGTTCAATCTGTTAATTATAATCCTTAAACATGAAGTAGACTGCGTCCACAACAAGTCAACACAGCTGTAAATGTGGCCAATTATCAATCAATTAACATTCAATAACATAAATGATTATTTTATGCATGCTTTAGTCAACCACTCACCCTGAGGATCTTCAATCCCGGAAAATTCCCTTCTCCTCATGTAATAAAGTCTGTCATCCTTCCATGCCCTGGTAACTGGTCCATCCAGAGCTGTAACATTTTGAAATGTACATACAACAAGCCAAACCACACCTTGGTCACACCAACCCTTTTCTGCCCCGAAGATGTCCAACGCCATCTTAGTCTGGACCAGGGTTGTAATAGTTTTGCAATTTTTATTAATCTTTATTTTTATTTAGCTCCGACTTCAGATTTACAATTTTATATCAGTTTTAATTAGTTTTTACCAATTATCTGCTAGTTTAGTTTAGTTTTCGTTCTTTCATTTGTTTTCGTTAATAATAATAACCTTGCTCTGCACACTGGAATAAACATAATCAACATGATCAACATTTAACTGCGTGTTATTTCACCATCTTATTGATTCAAATGCTCCATCCTTATGTGGTTTGCGACATTATGTTTATCCACTCTGTCTCTAAATGTTTGAAGAATCTTCAAGTTTGGGGTCAAATTTTGAGAATTTGACCATAAATGAAAGTTATGGTGTTATCACCCCCTTCGGGGCTTACCTTTCCCAGTTTTGATGATATTCCTCCCTATTCTTTGCAAGTACCCCCTGTTGGTGGCGAGAAACTGGTGGTGTGGTCAAGTGGGTGCTATAGGAAACAAAAGCTCAGGACAGAACAGTTATCAGTCATGTGCTTCTTACAGAATTTGCATATATTTGATTTTATGTTGATCCTCTGAGTATAATGGTACATTTCAATTTGAATTTCTCACAGCTAAACACAATATTTTTCTTTATTTTGCTCTTGTTCTTGTGCAGCACCACCTCCTATCACATGCCCCTGTCGGTTATATTCTACTTTTAATAATTTACTATTTCAAGCGAGAACCTAAATCATGTGGACGAGTGTTTGTTATTGCATAACTCTATTCTGAATGTGGCAAGTCTACCATTCTCCTGTTATTCATAAACAGAGATGGGCAGTAACACATTACTTGTAACGCGTTACTGTAATCCGATTACTTTTTTCAAGTAACTTGACCAACACTGTTCATAGGTATTGTTAAAGTTTTGGCGATTTTCCTCTATAAACTTTAACTGACTTTTTACAGTGGCCTGCTATGGTTAATAGTAACATATTCCAGTCATGAGTGATATCAAAAGTTTTCTCCACTGTAGCATTTGGCATTCCCAATAATATAACATGATACCTTAATTAAAACACAGCTAATATAGCACAGCTTTCTTAATGCAAACATCAGTAACTCAAAATTAGCAACCAAAGTGTTAAGTCTGCAGTTCCACACTCTCATGTGAAGCTACAGTCCCCTCCCCCCTAGTCTCTCTCATCCTTCTGCTCCTGCAAAAACAAAACAAAGCGAAGCATCCACCCTTCTCTCGCCGGCTGGGTGAATTGTTTGTCGGCATTTACTAATCCTAAAGTTGGTACAGTGTTTGTCTCAGTATCAAGTCAGTTAAAACTTTTAGTCGTCAGTCCATCACACTCCAGTCACATGCTTACATCCACACACATTCATACCAGATGTTGCTGATAATGGAGTCTCCCGCGCAACCTATTCGAGCCTCCATCACCAGCAAGATGACGTCATCATTAATTCTTTGTTCTTTTGTTCTGGATTGACTCGCTGCAATCCTTTTAGACTCAGGACTTCTCATGTGATCAGTGTCCCATATAAGTGAATTTCTCCCACGCCCATTATAATCATGGAGAAGCACACTTTGCAACTGTTTTCCGTAATAATATTTCATAGCGCTTTAAATTTCAATCTTTCAGGCCTGGTTTAAAGAGCTGATTGTTAAATCATGGACTCACAAAATATCACCACCGGTAGATCACACCTCTAAGATGTTTTTATCTCAGTGCACTGTAACAAAACGAAACAGACGTAACCAACAAAATACTACTAAAATAACACATACTAGGGCTCGTTGCAGACATGTCCAAGCATAAAAACCATTTCTCTCTCTTAGAGAAAGAACACAACCCAAAGCTCACTGATAAAATCAAGCTAACACCTTTTGTTCCTCGTTGAATTAAATCTCAATCACAGAAAATGCCGTACTCCGACCTAAAACTTACTCTATTAGTTCATCATTTTCACTCTGTGTCACTGTTCCTCACCAGGGCTATGTGAAGCACAATAAACAATTCAATCAAGGCCTTGAGCCATAAACAAAGACCACGCACAGACATTATTTTCGTAACCAAACCGTTTTAGACCTTATTCCTTAAATCTACATAAATGCCCTCTGGATGACATATAACA